ATATAGGGTGTCAACCCCTGGTTACATTTCCTTTTCAGTAATACATAGCACTAACCCCGGGTTACATTTCCTTTACCAGTATAGGGTGCGCTAATCCCTAGCTGAGCTTTCCAACATAGGGTCTCCACTCCCTAGTAGACTTTTAGTATAGATATAGGGCCCACTCCCCAATCCCTTTTTCTCAAGGATACACAATCCGAATTTTATTGCTTTCAATAAAGAAGTAGTTTAAAATTTTGTTACAATAACTTACGAAATTTTTCTAGTGAAAACTGGGGCAGAAAAATTTCGTTCGTTTGTTTGATTTGGTGTCTGAGCAGGTTTTACCTCGAGGCACAGGGTTCGAGATGCCCAAAGAATGAGTCTCAATCCAGAATAAAGAAAAAGGAAAAGAAGTGAATCCAAAGTGCAGAAGCGAAGGAAAGATGTGGATTGCTCAAGACATAGTTGAAGTCACAAGCTCTGCATGTTCCGTTTTGATCTGAAAGCGGACGAACAATGAACCAGCGGTTGCAGCTAACGAGCATCAAGATTCAGATCAGAGTCTGCAAGAAGAACCATCCAAGACTCAAGATCAAGCTTCAGAAGACTCATAGATAGGAATCTTGTAACTCATAATTGATAGGCTTGTTCAGTTTTTTTTTATGTAATAACAGACTTACGGATCGGAGCCTCGACGGAAACTCACTCGACTTTTCAACTCATCATTCCACAGTTCTCTTTGAACTACACGCGACCTGATTCCCCTATAACCCGGGATATGTAGGCTGTCCAAAATCAAGACTCGGTTGCACCCTTTCTCTTTTCTCTTATCCTTATTTCTTCCCTTTTGAATAAAGATATGTTCAAAAATTAGTTACATGACTCACCTTATCTTTGCTCGAAAACTCTTCATGTTTCCAAGCAAAGAGGGGCAGCTGTGAGCACCTAATTTTTAACAATATTTAATTTTTTGTCACTTCTTCTATTTAATATTTTAGAGGTTTCAACCTACAATTTTTAGCTTTGTTACACTTTTTATTATAGGGTAAAAATACAAAATTTTAAAAGGTGAATTATTACTATTATTATTATTTTATTTTTTTTATTTTTAAAATAATAAAAAAAAATCCGAAAAATATTAATTTTTTTTTAATTATTTCGGGTGAGATATAAAAAATAAGAAAAAGGGAAGTGTGGAATAAAAAAAATAAAAGTAAAAGTGGGTGGAATTCTCATTTAAAAAGTAAAAGAAAGTGGAAAATTAAAAGTAAAGTTTTGTGAAAATTTTTAAAAACTAAAAAGTAAAGAAAGTTGGAATTAAAAAATAAATATAAAGGTAGCTGAAAATTAAAAAAAAAATTAAAGTAAAAGAAAGTAGAGTTTTTATAAGAAAAGCAAAAGAAAGTGCATTATTTTTTTAAGAAAAGTAAAATAAGTGGAATCCTCTTTTAAAAGTAAAAAAAGGTGAGATTTTAAATAAGATAAAAGTAATTAAAGTTGGAATTTAAAAAATAAAAGTAAATAAAGGTGTGATTTTTTTATATAAAAAAGAAAAGCAAATTGTAGGTGGGATTTCTTTTAATTAAAAAATAATAAAATATTTTAAAAAAAATTCTGAAAAATTTCGAAAATTTTGCTATAAATAGAAGAGAAAATTTGAGGAGAAAAAGGAGAGAAAAGAGAGGGTAGAATTGAGAGAAACAAATTTTTTCTTCTTCTACGCTACGACAATTTCTACTCGTGTTATTCTTTCTTCCTCTTTCTTTCGAAAATTTCCAGCAATTCAACACTCCAAAACCTAACAAAAAATACTTCAAAACATCCCCTTTTACACGCCAAAGAGTGGTGTTAACAGTCGGGGTCGAGGATTCTGTTGGAGCTTTGTTCACCGGCTTTGATGATCATCTTTGCTTATGCTTGTTCGGCGTTCATCTGAGTTATTGTACATATTTTTGGAGACTCATTTAATTGAAAATCTTGCATTAAAAGGTTTATTCTTCCCTCTCTTTTTTTATCTTATTTTATGTGATTTTATTTATTTATCTTTAAACTTTATAAATAATAATGTAAATCAATCCCTAAATGTTCTCTGTTTAATCATGTTTCTGAAAATATAGTATTTAAACTTGCTAAAAGTTTGGAAGATTTGGACACTAATAAGTTTAGGCTTCAATTGTTGGGATGTAGGGTATTGGTATATGATAATTTATTTATTCAAATATCTAAAATCATACACTTTTTTCCACAAACAATTCCATAACTTTTGGCCTTACAATAATCTTAAATTAGTTTAGGAAAATACTTCAAGTGCGCTAGTTTATTTAGGTGCGCTTTAAATAATTAAATATCATGGCTATGTGTATGGTCTCTGTGGCATAATTGTGATATGTAACAAAATAAGTATTAGAACGCGTAACTTATTTCAAGATAACTTTTTTTTTCTAATTTTAATCAAGCAATAAAGCGGACATAGGTAAAAGATGAGAACCAATAAAACACAAGTTATCCAAAAAATAGTATAAGCCAAATATAGTCAATAAAGCGACCGTGCTAGAACCACGGGACTCGGGGAATGCCTTACACCTTCTCCCCGGTCAACAGAATTCCTTACCCGGACTTTATTTTCGCAGATCAATAATACAAGAGTCAAACTTTCCTTTGAATAGAGATCAAATAAAAGGTGACTTGGAACACCCAAAAATCAATTCCAAGTGGCGACTCTGAATAACAAAATAATCCCTATTTCAAATTTGTCACTTTAATTGGAAAAAACTCTTTAACCCACAATCCATAACACACATTATCTTTTGGAGGGATAGAAAAGGGGTGCGACAGGAATATACGGTACCATTAATTTAGGAGGGATATACAGTATAATTGATGTACCGTTATTTTTACATTATGGTATAAAATTGGTATTAGGTATACTAAATGTAATTATATCAAATCTTAAATATTGAGGGTAATATAGTTTCCTATATGGCATAGGAATGTAAAAATTCCAAATATCAAATATTGTTAGAGGTGTAAACTGTTAATTTACCCAAGTAGATTTTTGTCTCTCTTTGGGCTTGATCTCAATAATTGGGCCAACGCAGTTCAGTCCTAGTCCGATTATAAGTTGAAGAATTAATCAAAATAGCCGATTACTCAATCGCTTAAATTAAAAATAGCCAGTAAACGTATAATATATGCATAACTTATATATTATATAATTATAATTATCTATAATCAATATATAATCTAGGTATATGACCATAAAAGTAAATAATAAATACGGCCGGCTATTTGTATAAAGATAAGTTTGTCAATTATCCGGGAATGGGCTAAGCAGTAAACTTGATCTACTTCGTGATGGATCTTGCAGCTTTCCGATTGTTAAAGTAAACTTTTGATAGCCCATTAAGTAGGTACATTCTTTCTTTTATAGCATCATGTTTTGAAGTTAACATAAAAAGCTTTGTTTAGTCAAGGAAAAGCATGTGAAAAAAATTGATATAAAAGGAACTATGATGTTAAGAAAATATTGGAATTTTTACCTCCTATAGCAAAGGTTAACACCTTATTTATTTTAAATAAATACCATTTAAAAAAATTATATTCTATAGATACCTTTTAAGGTTTATAGCAAAATATTTAATTTTGGTTACCTCCTAGCCCTAAGCCACTAAATACGTTATTCAGTTACACTATTTTCTTTCTCTCTCTACTTTGATATATCCCATTCTCTTCCCCCATCCCTGAAAATACGATGCTCAATCTCAAAATTCTTCACCCACACTATTTTCTTTTCATTCCGATCAATTCTTGCACCGAATATTGAATTGCGATTTAAAAGCAAATCAAATCTCTAACCAAAACTAACTGATTTGGGAAAGGGAGTTAACCAACATTTGAACTTTGACAGATTTCACCTTAGCGGAGGCCTTGGATACAGTGGCCGATGGAGCACCAGCGACGGAACATTTGCTGAGAGTGGACGTCCGAGATTGAATCTTTTGGGTAGCAGGTAATGAAAAAAGGTGTCGCGTGTTGTCCTTTCAAATATCAAAGGTGTCGCATGTTGTACCTTCAAACGTTGCTACGACGGATTCGCCGGGAATTAGGGTTTGTTCTTGAACAAATACGACGGAGTTTGGAGCTGAGCAACTTGATTTTCTATTAATATACTTCAATGTATTTTCATGTATTTCATTGTATTCATTGTCTTTTTTTTTTCATTGTAATTCAATGTATCTCGTTGTATTCCATGTATTTTATTGTATTCACTGTCTTTTTTTTTCATTGTATTTCAATGTATCCTGATGTATTCTATGTATTTCATTGTATTCATTGTCTTTTTTTTTTCATTGTAATTCAATGTATCTCGTTGTATTCCATGTATTTTATTGTATTCACTGTCTTTTTTTTTCATTGTATTTCAATGTATCCTGATGTATTCTATGTATTTCATTGTATTGACTATCTCGCTATATGTTATGAATGTATTCATATATTTTTTTAATTAATATAATTTATGTATTCAGATGTATTATATAATTTCTCTGAAGATTGCTATGTTTTTGGGGTATTTTTCGGTTGAGAATCTTTTTTATAACTGAAAATACAAAATTTGTTTGTTATAATTGAGTTTGTTGAGTTATATTAGGAGTCTATTATGTTAATTGATTCACTTTCCATTTTAAAAATAGTGTAATCGCTATTTCAAGCCGTGAATACAGTCGAATACAATAATATGTCCAGCTGTAATCCCATGTTTAACTCCATGAATACAGTCGAATACACTCGAATACAACAACTGTTTAGTTGGACTTCCCTGATTCAAATGGTATCTATAAATAGCTAATTACTACTAAAAGATAGTGTTTTATGAAAATTTGTCGAAAATATTAGAAGTGGTGCTTTCTTGGTTTTAAATTTGAGAGGCCCATGAACATTCTTTTGCTGTCCTTTTTGTCTCCTAATTTCCTGTTGCGCTATACAAACAAAAACAAAGTGACAATTCACAATTGCAAAGATTAATAATACTGACTTTTATTCACTTCTTCTCTTTTAAAGAGAAAAACATACAACACCAACCGTTTTACAATCAGAAATCACACGCAAATCAAGAAAAAGAAAATGACATACTTAAAACGACCACAATATACTGTTTCAATATTCATGCAAACCAAAATGAAGAATTAGTAAAAAACAGGTTTTACCACTAAACTATAATATTCCCCTAGAATGGAGTACTGAGGCGGGTAGTGACATTAAAATCCACCACCTCGGTCCTCAATTTCTGTCCTCCTAAAATAACCACAGACAGAACTTCATATATTACTAGTTACTAGCATTAATAAAGAAGAAAAAATGGTGTAGAGCCACTTTAAAAATAAGCCCTTCCCATCAACACTAATTACTATAGTCCTAATTTGTCACACTGCAATTGATTATTTATTATTTTATAGCTAAATTGATTAATTAAGTGAACTGGGCGCCGGTGAAAGTTTGGCCAAAGGACCAACCGGCAGGGATAGCGTCGTCGGAAATTAAAGTGCGGCCATCACCAGTGGTGACTTTAAACGAGAGGCTTTGACCATCTAGATTGGAATTGCTCTGCCAATTTTGACCCCAATTACGTGACATAGGTATCCAGTCGGTTCTAGAACCTTTAACCGAAACTGCATTAACATCACCAGAACCTCCGACGTTAGTCACGAGCACCAAGTTGAAGTATGAGTGACCGTTCATTGTAAATCTGATGCCTCCTTTTTTCTGGCAGGGTACCCTGCATTAATGGTACAATTAATGCCAACCTCCATATTTGAAACTCGTGACATGCAATTTATAGCCCGCTTGGCCAAACCGCAAAAACCAACTTATTTTGAGAAGCCTTTTTTTCAAAAGTGTTTTTATCAAAAGTATTTTCAGTGAGAAGCAGTTTGTGTTTGGCTAATTAATTTGAAAGACACTTCTGAGCAGCAATTAGTGTTTGGTCAGACTTTAAAAAACTGCTTCTAAGTGTATTTTTCTCAAAAGTATTTTTCAAAAAAGTGTTTTCGGAGAGAAACTACTTTTTTTTCTTCTCCAAAACTGTTTCTATTTCTCATCAAAAGCACTTTTTTTCCCTCCAAAAGCTTGGCTAAACACCTCAATTTTTGGCCAAAAGGCTATTAGTTAGCATAGTGTTAAGAAAATTTGCTCTTTTGTTTTTTGGGGTATTTAAGCTAATGTAACCAACCACCGATATAAATATTAGTAGGGGGCCAATCTATGTGGCGAGATGTAACCGACAGAATGCTCGTGTTAAACTTAAACCGACTAGCAGTAATTCATGTCAGAGACATTAAATTCACAAGACGTGAGAACTTAATATTAAGGAGTACGTCCAGACCTAGCTTTCATCTTAATGGTAAATGTACATTAAAATATATAATGCTGTATCTTTATCCTTGAAATTTGACCGGGTATGACACAAAAGAGTTTAACAATCAAATTATATACTTGCACGAGATGGGTTCTCTCGTTTTTGCCTTAAAAGTTTTTTTTTTATATTTCCTCCGTTCATTTTTAGTTGTTCACTTTTAACTTTGCACTCTTTTAAGAAAAAATATATATTTATACATATTTTATAATTTTACTCATAATAGTAATAGCATTTGAAAAAATCTTGGGAAATGATTTGAAAATTTAATAGTTATTGATACGGGTAAAACAAAAAAAAAATTATCTTTTTTTATTTGCTAAAATAAACAAATAAAAAATATATTTTTAATATAGGGAACACGTAAAATTGAATGGAGGGAGTATAGTATACCATATTGGACGACTCTATCTACATAACTAGAACTATTCAAAAATAATTCAACGGTTTTTTCCTTTCATTTTTTCTGACTCTGACACTTAACCGAAATACTAAGGCCCGTTTGTCCAAAAAAAATAAATTAAAAAGATGCGTTTAATTTGTCCATGAAATTCTGCAACTTTTTGAAAAAAATTCAAAAATACTTCAACATTTTTTCAAGTAAAATACATGTCAGAACATAATTTCAAATTCCGAATATCAATTTTCAATTTAACTTCAAATACTATTCTTTTTCAAAAAAATACAATTTTTATGTCCAAATGCCTACTAAGTAGGCGTTTGGACATAAGAATTGTAAAATTCCAAAAAATGATGGATTTTTTTTTCAAGTGAAAATGATATTTGAAATTTGAAGTTGTGTTTGGACATAAATTTCAGTTTGGGTTGTTTTTTGAAGTTTTGTAAGTAATTTGAGTGAAAATTTTGAAAAACAATTTTTTGGAGTTTTTCAAATTTTCGAAAATTTCCAAAATGATCTTCAAGTGAAAATTGGAAATATTACGAACAAACCTGATTTTAAAAAAAGGTGAAATATTTTTGGAAAAAAGAAAAAAAAATTATGTCCAAACGGGATATAAGTCAAAGACATGACGAGTTGAGATTTTTCAACAAACACGAGAATAAAAGGGAAAAACAAGAAAGCAAAGGAGATAGTATTTAGATTCAAGTTAGGGTCTTACCTTCGGTAAGAAACAGGGACAATTCCAGCTCTGTACAGAGCAATTTGTTGGAAAATAGGCTGAGAGAGGTCAAAGTGGTGCAGGGGAGGGTTGCACCACCCTCCTGCATTGTTTGGTAGGGCGTAATTTGGTGGGCAGAAATTAGTAGCAGTGACCACTATAGACCCTGGAATACACGATTTCGAGTCACCAACGCACTTAATCTCAAAGCAAGCCCCACAGCTCAATCCATTGTTGAACATTGCTGTGCTCAATGCTGCTGTATTTGTACCATATCCTTGGCTGTACAAATTCCCGTAACCACATGCCCCACCTAGATTATATGAATATAAATTTCTTAATGCCAAATTAATAAAATAAAATAAAATACTTTAGTAGAAAATGGAAAATTAGGCAAAAGCATTTGAAGAGAGTAACATACCCATGGTTCCGGATGCATCACCACCTCCATAGAAAGTGGCATGAGCTTCAATCCATCCTTCGTCATTGCCGTCGACACAATTAAATATACAAAATAAACCAACGATGGAAATCCACAGTATTGACATTTTTCCTGTAAATGTAAACTCAGAGGTGTTAGCTGGGCACTCTTTTGGAACTAACAATATACTATACTTTAGACAATATTATGAACACTGACCTTAATGTGGGTTCTTTGAGGTCAAGAAAAGATGATTTTCTTGAGATATTGTCTTTGTTAAAAAAGGGGAGCAGTAGTTGTTTCTGTAGGAATGAGCTTAATTTGCAATGAGAAAAGGAAGGACTGAGGTGGGAATAAATAGATGTTAGGGGGAACGATTCAATAGCGCAATCAGCCCTTTAAAAAAATAGAATATTTTTTCTTTATTTATTTTTGGTTGCTTTAATAAAACCAGTCTTGTCCCAAAGGGACGGTCCAGTTAGTTTGGAGGGTGTTGTTCACACGGGCGATGGGAGATCGATCCCCTTAATGTCTTCTGGGTTTGAGCTTGTTGTACGTGGCTTGCCTAGTACGGTTTACATTCCTTATGTGATTTGCAGGTTATTACACAATGGGGGTTTACCCAGTGCACATAAAGTGCTCACCCGAAAGACAGAGGCTGTGACAGAGACCGTAGCGGCGGCGAATTTTCCTGGGTTCCAAAAAAAAAACGGTCTTTTTCTGTGTCTAGACCGCTAGCGGCAAAAAAAAAAAAAAAAGACTTCTATTTATATTTCTGTTTTTTTTTTTTTCAGTTAAAAGAAAAATGTACTACACAAGTTTACTGTAATTGATCATAAAGACAAAGCAAGTTGAGAGGGGACCAAGTATTTGATCCCTCGGCCGTGTCTAGCCGGTTTAGGGAACGCAACTTGTAAGAGGTGTTAAATAACAATTTTTAGCAGTTTAAGAAAATTTTAAAGTGGTACAATTAATTAGAAAATAGATAAATATAGATTAATCCATTGAAAAATTAATAACTCACAATCGATATTGGAAAAATTAATATTGGATCAATCGATTTACCAAATAAAGATTGACTGAAATGGTAACTGAGAACTAGACTGTTTCTAAACAAATATTTCACAGAAATTAATTGAGCTAGATTTAAACTAATATTACACTAGGCTCAAAATAATTAGCATACTCTCTTAAAGTTCATGGTCAGAGTCTACCTTAAGCTCCTTTCCGTCCTGATATTCGATTCCAAAAATAAAGTAACCGACCAAATGGCTCTCACCTGTTATGATCATCCAATCTTGACATGATTGGTTTCACAGGACGGCTATTTAATAATCTTATTTCTGTTGTGAGACTATTTTAATTTTATGAAACTTGATATTCAAATTAAGATATTGTGGAACGAACTGAAATTGAAGTTTTATTCTCTAAACATATACTGATTAAGCGATAATTAGGAGCCTGCGCGAAATAAGTAGTTCTAAATCTTGACTAATTTTTTCTAGATTTATTGGAGCGATCGAATATCAAAACGAATATCAAAACGAGTGCAACTTGGACTAGGTTTCTGGACGAAAAGGCTGCTTGAGTTAGTTGCTAGTTACTACCCCTACCTTGAAATTATCAACCAACATAGACCTAGCTCTCATTTCATTTATTGTATGTTCATTGAATACCGATTTTTATTTCTCTAGATAATTTCTTTTTTCTGACAGGATTCTGGAATAGTATAAGAATTCCAAGCCAAAAGGCTGAAAATTAGGTTGTGATATATGTGAGTGTTGAATACCAAATCCGAGTGAAAAGGAAAGAATGCTGCTGTGGATATATAATGGTCATATATATTCTGCCAGAACTGCAAATTGCCGCCCATATCAGACACCATACCCTTCTACCATTCTATATATGTTTGAGGCTTCAACTTGAATTTTAGACTTTTAGTACTATATTTATATCACTTTTGGAGGCATCAATGCAGAGATAAAGATTTCTTTCATAAAAATTGTGAGCTTTAAGGATAACTAAAGGGGAAAAAACAACAAGCATACTTATTAATTACTTACACATGCGTGATTATATTCTATGGGAGCTTCTGTAGTTGTAACTAATTGTGTCATAGGCCGATTTAGAATTTGAACTTTATAAGTTTAAATTCATAATTCTACCACATCTATTTAATTTACCAAGTTCAAAAACCATTATTGAGATATATTTAGTAGATTTTTAAACACAGATACATGGTCAAACCGAAAATCAAGGGGTCGGATGAATAACTGTCACGACCCGAATTCTCCACCCTCGGGAGTCGTGATGGCGCCTACTAATACGAGCTAGGCAAGCCAATTAATTGCACAATTTACCTTTTCACCCGTTTTATATTCATTAACAATTGCGAAGTAATAACTTTTAAGCAGTGGAATTTAACATTAGCGGAAGAAAAACAATAAACTACCTAAACATGAATATCTAATACAGTTGTTTGAGTCTCGACTATCCAAAACTGGTGTCACAGTTTCACAGGCGGTCTAAGAATACTACAAATAAAGGTCTGAAAGAATTAAATACAACATTGTCTCTGAAAATACATGTAAGAAACAGGAAAGTAGATGGAAGGAGACGCCAAGGCCTACGGACGCATGCAGGGCTACCTCGGGTCGCCTGACGAACAAGAATCAACAATCTCACTGTGGTTCGAAGTCCACAACACTGGGGTCTGCACAAAAGAGTTCAGAGTGTAGTATCAGCACAACCGACCCTATGTGTTGGTAAGTGTCTAGCCTAACCTCGGCGAAGTAGTGACGAGGCTAGGACCATACCATCAAATAAACCTGTGCAGTTATATAATATACAACGGAAAGTAAAGCAGGAATAAACAAGTAAAGATGGGAAGGGGAAACATGCTTCGGGGAATAACAGGTAAAAACAGAATATCAAGAGAACTATAAAGGAATCAGAATCCAACCTCTAACAAGAATAAGGAAAACAAAGGCAGATTTCACTTTTTTTTCATATCTTGTTACACGCGTGCAACCTGATCCCATTTCCTGTATCTCTTGATAGGCGTACCACCCGCTCCCATTTTATTATATTTCGTGGTAGGCGTACCACCCGTTCCCATTTCATCATATCTCTGTTGCGGCGTGCAACCCGATCCACATATAATATTATTGTAGAGTGCAACCCGATCCATATATAATATTTACAATTATAACGAGGGTCCAGATAAGGGATCAATAAGGTCTACTCTATCCCGACAAGGGATTCAACAGTATAAGTAAATACGTCCTAGTAAGGGAGAAACAACTATAACCAAACTTGTTACAACATCTAACTACCTCAGCTATGATCAAACTGATTACAACATCTAACTACCTCAGTTATAACCAAACTTGTAACAACATCTAACTACCTCAACTATAACTTAACTAGTTCCAACATTTAACTACCTCAACTATAACTCAACTAGTTCCAACATCTAACTACCTCAGCTATCATCAAACTTGTTCCACGAGAATAACCATAATCCTTACCCAACACAAAGAATCATCAACCTAAGCATCCGTAATATCCATTAAGAACACAATACCAGGGAACCACAGCTAAACAATAGCCCGGCAAGGGGGCGACATAATGATCTTTCCTCTTTCTCACTTTTACTTCACAATTCACTACACAACTCGAGCCAACACTCTAGAGGTTCAATTATCACTTATACTTTCATAATACGTTATATAATTGGAGCTAACGCTCCTTAATGTTTATAGGTCACAATTCTTTCCACAACTTTACACAACAAATAGAAATCTTCACCAAGGCATGAATAATACAACGAAGTCATGAAAATCACAATATAAGACTCACGGTCATGCTTGGCACCAACGTATAGATACTTGTCACCATGCCTATACGTCGTACTCAACAAGAAGCAAATAGCAAATAGGACACAACTCCTAATACCTCAAGCTAAGGTTAGACCAAACACTTACCTCGATGCCACGAACACAATCCACGATTCAATTATAGCTTTACCCCTTGATTCTACCACCAATTCGCTCGTATCTAGACACAAATTACTTAATTACATCAACAAACGATAAATGAATCAATCCCAATGCATGAAAATGAGTGTTCCAAAGTTCTACCCAAAAAGTCAAAAAACACCCCCGGACCCATATGGTCAAAACCCGAGGTTCGAACCAAAACCCGATTATCCATCCCCACACGAACCCAAATATATAATTTGTTTTGAAATCGTACCTCAAATCGAGGTTCAAATCCTCAATTTTTCGAATAACCTAGGTTTTACCCAAAACACCCAATTTCCCTCATGAAAATCATTGATTTGAAGTTGAAATCATGTTAAAAGATGTTAAGAATTGAAGAAAGTTAGTTAAAGACGACTTACAATTGATTTGGAGAAGAAGAAATCCTTGAAAAATCGCCTAAGTGTGTTTATGTTTTGAGAGAATATGAAAAATGAGTTTAAAATCGTTTAAGTATAAAAGTTGCAGGTCTCTAATATGGGAATTGCGAACAGGGGTTCGCAATTGCGAACCCCGACCTCTGTTGGCTTCGAAACAGGGTTCGCATTTGCGAACCCTTCAGGAAAATGGGATCTTCACATTTGCTAAAGGCATGTCGCATTTTCGACTTCGCATTTGCGACACATAGGTCACATTTGCGACCATTGGCCCAAAGGGAAACTTCGAAATTGCGAAGAGGATCTCGCATTTGCGAGAGGGAGCTGACCTGGGTTGGTTTCGCATTTGCGATCCAGCCTTCGCATTTGTGAGCCAGGCTTCGCAAATGCGAAGCCTGCAGGCCTGGGCACACCAGCAAAATTTTCTGCAATTTTCCAAGTTCCAAATGCACCCAGTGGCCTATCCAAAATTTACCGGAGCCCTCGGGGCTCCAAACCAAATATACACACAACCTCAAAAATATCCTACGAACTTATTCATGTAATAAAATCACCAAAATATCATCAAGAACATCGAATTAAACCTCAAAATCAATGAAACATCTCAAAACTCTTAAACATCCTTTTTTTCAATTAAGGTCCGAATCACGTCAAACGGACTCTGTTTCTCACCAAATTTCACAAAATCATCTTAAATCATATATAAGACCTGTACCGAGTGCCGGAACCAAAATACGGGCCCGATACCAACATGTTCTAATCAAAATTCATTTCAAATTCCTTTAAGTAAATTTCAGAAAATAATTTTCTTTTAAAATTCATTTCTCGGGTTTGGGACCTCGGAATTCGATTCTGGACATAGGCCCAAGTCCCATATTTTCCTACGGATCCTCCGGGACCGTCAA